TCCGCCTCGAGGACTTAGACCAACGGAGTCTATGGTGGGTATGAAATATGTGAATAGGCGGGTTCCGAGAACCCTCTGCCTAAATTCACTACGTTCAATTACCCAGCATAGACTCCGGTCAATCAAAATGACTATTTTGAACTATAGGCAGAGTCAGACGCTGATAGGTGGCAGGTTTTCCGAGCAAACAGAAAATGATGAAAGTGATTTCCCAGTCAGGGATGAAACAAACTACAATAAACTCAACACCTTCGTTGCCTGTGCTGTCCCCGGAGCAAGAAGCCAAAATGCTGCTACGGTGACAGGGTTCGGTGTGCCCGAGAAAGCCAGACCCCAAGACAATTCTGGGGGTAGTAGGCTTTCGAACTAAAGACCGAAACAGTTCTGCATATGATGGTATAGGCCGAAAAGCAGGCCCTGGGAGCTTCCAGTGAGTGCTGATGGTAGAGAAATCTGTCCGCATCAAATGCTGAGACTGACTTATTGCCTATGCGCAGGGACCCTTGTGGTCGTTCGGGCTGGGTCAGCAAACCAAGACTGACCTGCCCCGCTAAGACGGGACCCAACCTAAAGAGACCAAACTCAGTGGATTCGGTGTCTGTTAGGTGGTAGTTGATAAAGACGTTCTGCGTTCTCAAGAAGCCTGCCCTCCGTGTATGCTCGAGGGGGGGGGGGGGCACCTGGCGCTAGCACTAGTGAGTTGGCAATCGCACAGACCTCATGCGCTCGTACTTTGTGCCTCTGCAAGCTCTGTGTCAAGGAAGTTAAAGTATTATAGACCTCTAATACAGTCGCAGTAAACCACCTGGTTATGAAAGTTGGGGAGGCAGGCCTATCCTGCCTGCCTGGGCCGTAACAAAAAAACATGTGCCTGGCGCCCCGTCCTGAATCCTTAGTACGGTTTGGTAGCAACTCCGTGCTCGAACTGGGCAAAGAAGCAATTTCTCCTAACCGTCCGGGCAGACAAAATTTGGCAGCCGGGGGATGACGATCGGGTGAGGATCGTGTCCTGGGATTTGGTTCTAGGCGAGAAACTCGATTCGTGTCTTTAGCACAACTTGATTGTCCATAACGGCAGTACATCATCCGAGAAGGACAATGCCCCCAGCTCTGGCTGATGCCTACCTGAGGCGAGGGGCCAGTAGGAAGACTATTTTCCACGCCAAAAATTTGAATGGTGCTGATCGGAGAGGCTCAAAGGGCAGTCTGCTTAGAGCGGACAACACAGCCAACAAGTCCCAGTTGGGCGGTTCCCTTGTATGGGGTCTTGGCGTCTGGAAAGCAGTAAATAGTCTCCTAATAATAGGACAATCGGCTAGTCTTGTTCCCGTACGTTCTCAATGGTGAGGGACAAGGCTGACCTGTAGCCAACGATCGCTGCGTAGGACAAACCCCCACTTCGTCAAACAGGTGGATGAGAGAGCCTGCTACCTGGCCAATAGAGGGATGGTATGAATCCATCTCCCTTCCGCTACACCAATAAGTGTATGCTCGCAGCCTAGAAATGTAGGCTGTGTTGGTGGAATCCCTGTTTGCCCTGGCCAGGACATTGGCAGCCCGCGCAGATAAAGCTTTCGTATGTGCAGGTCTACTGAGAGCCTCTATGCGTGTAAGTGATACCTACTGGGCTGGTTGGTAGTGTGCCGTCTGGTTGGGACGGCAGGTCTGATATGTCTGGAAGCACTACTGGTGTTTCGACTAGCATTTCCGACAGAAGTGGAAACTAGGCCTTGCTTGGCCAATTGGGTGCGACCAATGATAATATGCAGGTGTGCATCTGTTGAAGTTTTCTACGGTGCCTGGAGAACTAGCCGGAAGGGAGGAGAGGCGTACACAACTAAGTGAGTCCACGGGGTTAGCAAAGTGACCCTGGCCCAGGCTCCTGGAGTCGACAGGACTGTTTTGTACCTCAGGAGCTTGGCGTTCCGTGGTGCGGCAAACCGGTCTAACCTTGGACCGTCCCACAGCCGAAACAGCCTGGAGGCTACCCACTGGGTATCAGCCACTCCGTGTTCTGGGGACAGAGCTGCCCTGAAAGGGCATCTGCCAGACTTTTCCTCACCCCTGGAAGGTGGTGTGCGGTTAGCTCCTCATTGTATTCCAGGCACCAAAGGAGGATTTGCTCCTCTAGGACTGACAACGATGGGGAATGCGTCCCCCCTCCTTCTTGAAGGAGACCACCGCTGCGTTGCCTGGTCTCAAACTATGGGTAGAAAGCGTGGTAGCGCTAAGTATACTGCTTTCAGTTCGAGCTGGTTGATATGGTAGTCCCGAAACTAATGCGGGAGCCATATTCTTGGGCTTGTTCGTCCCATAGATGTGCTCCCCAACCTTGGGAGGAGGCATCTGTTACCAGAGTCATACCTGCGGTGAGTGGGTCCAAGGGGTTCCCCTGTCCGAGGTTGGCCAGTGACGACCACCAGGGCAGGGCTTCCTTCACTTAGTGCGAGATCAAAACCCGTCTAGTTCCCATAGGAGAGCTCGGCGTTATAACAAGCGTTATACCGGGCGGCTGCGTAGTGCGGCCTGGGGAACGACCCTTTGAACCAAGGTCATCATTCCAATGGCCCGCATTAGTTCTCGGATGGACACTGAGGGAACGCTGACTAGGCGTTCGGCTAGGCTGCTTAGCGCTAAGCAACACGCTTGAAATAGCTATACCAAGCTTACCTCTGTGTCAAAACTCCATGCCCAGGGACACCAACAGTGCGTTGGACCAAGATGGGACTTGTCGATTTACTAAAGAGCCCAACTGGTGAAGTAAATTCTGTGTTAGCCTGACGTGTTTGGTTATTAACCCCTTGTCCGGGTTGTGTAGTAACCAGTCGTCTAGGTACGGATTGAGGTGTACCAACATTTGGTGAAGCAGCAGCACTACCAGTATCATCACTCTGGTGAACATGTAGGGCGCTGTGCATAACCCAAACGAGGGGCACCCAAAATTCGAATACTTGGCCCAGCTGGGCGATTCGAAGGAGATAGCAACTCGCTGGGTGCATCGGTATGTGCAGGTAGGCCCCGCTTAAGTCTAGTGTGGCTAGCCAGTCGAAATGGTGGATGGAGAGAAGAACCCTGAATGGTGTCTCCATGTGGAACCGATCGAGGAGCACGTACTGGTTCAGTCTGCCTAGGTCCACAACTGGACGCTCGCCACTTGTAGATTTGGTACTACGAACACATTTGGGTAGAAGCCTGGACTTAGTTCAGGCTGATCTACCCTGTGTATGGCGCCTTTTCCCAGCAAACTGCTACTTCCTGCCTGATTGCTTCCACCTTGCGGGAGTCCCCTGGCAGTGCCCAATAAGGGAGACACTTACAGGGGAGATGGAGATTTCCATGGTAACCAGGAACAGAATGTCACCACCTGGAAAGGTCCAGGAATCAGTCACCCACTGTCTCCAAACCGGACTACACCGGCACAATCAGTGTACGACAGGAATATGTGGCCATGGGTTCGGCAGTTGCGAGGGGGGGGGGGGGTGCTCTCTTCTCCTATGAGGTGAGTTCCCCAAGGCCTGAAGTAGTCACTAAGTTGTGACCTGGCCACTCGCCGAACACATGCCTGTCCCCCGGTTGCAGAGGTAAGCGTCAAACACGCTTCCCCCACTGCTGGGGTAGACGTCCGCCCGAGGAGGGTGAGGAGCCACCACCTGACTCTTCCCTCCCATGGAAGGGTATGAGCGCTTGCCTCCTGGCTGACTCTGGCTAGCGGACTACGCCCTAGGGAATTGTGTTTTCTGTGCTTGGGGTGCCCTCAGCTTGCTCTTGGCAGGGCTAACTGGCTAGCGAATTCGATCTGAACTCTCTGGTTCATTGCACTCTGAAGCTCCAAGACTGTACCCACCATTCCCCGAACAAAGAGGGTGGAAGATGTCCAGTCTGCGCCACTGTGGTGGGGAAGTACCCCCTTACTCAGATTGCTGGCGAAATCACAGGCGTCTAAGGCCGCGTCTCGTTGCGCGGTAGTGGCCCCGGCCAAGAGAGGCAGGTGACACTAAGGGATGTCACACGTAGATGTGCGGTGGCCCACCATTAAATGCGTCGTCTGGTCTAGGAGGCTGATGCGTTCTGCCTCCGAGGTCTCAGAATCCTGGGCGCACACAATAATGCGTTCAAGCAACTCTGCCCTCAGGGCGTGATGGATTGTCTCAGATTGAGCTGGCGAGAACACCCATGGAACGCGGCTGTCCCCCTTTACCCGGTCTGCCCAACGGAAATTTGTGGTACCGGGGTCTGGGGAAGAAGCCTTGGGATCTGGTTGGGGGTATTTTGGTCTCATCCCACACTTTGGGGGACTGATCCCGAAACCACACCGACCGGGTAGCGTTTGGTCCAGCGGAAAGTGTTGCATAAGATTTTACCCCACCCGGGGGCCTTAAGCGTTACCTCCTCCGCGGCTGACCAACGTCCACCCATCAACAACCTTTGCGCGACCTGTGCCCCACTCCTTACTCGGATGGACAGGGAGAGACATGCCGATGGGGTTGCTTTGGATCCCGATGCCCGTGATCCCATAAGCGTTGAAGCAACTGAAAGTGGTCGCCTTAGGATCAGGGGTGGGGGTATTTACATCGCAACACTAAGATCGATGGAACTCCGCATCACCTCAAAAGCCTGGCTCACCGAGTCGTTACGGATGGAAAACTCTGAGCAACCGCGTGAGGTACCGGCTGTTTCCGTCTCCTTTTCACTTTAAATATGTGAGAGGGAGCGTGTTCGACTGTGCGCTCATGACAGGGTTGGTTCCCTCTGGGGACGCCCGTGGGTCGGTAAGAAGGGAGTCAAAAACCCACAGCGGAGATCAGACGCAAGGGTATATTTGTTACTGTTGTACAATTATCGCGCAACAGACCCTGGCTGGCTGAAATTAGGGGGGTCAACGTGTGCCCTGCCCTGAAAGCCCTGCGAAGGCTTGGCTGCCAGCACCCCATTGGCATTCAGTGCCCGAGGCTCCAGAGGAAGTCCGGTGCAATTAGCCAGAGCCTCGGCCTGACCCAAATTAGTGGGAGAGCCGCGGCTGGGAACAGGGGTTCCCCGGAAGAGACGTGTTTGAATGCAAACATGCTTTCGTGTGTCTTCCTACTTGCCCACCGGGGGCCGGCCGCAGTGGAGACAGCTCGCTCCGACTGTGTCTGATCTACCCGGCCTGCCAGGGAAGCAAATTACCCCAACAGTTCTTCCACCAAAACCCTCAACTAGGAAACAAACCCGGTGCCGTGTGAGGAAGGATTCACAAAAGGACCCACGACGGGCCCCATAGGAGGAAAAACCTCCAGAGGCACAGCCTCGCTGTAGCCGGTAAAATCGCGTAAACCACCACGTGAAAAACACAGACTGTGAGAATGCTCTCCGATCAGCGGGGGAAGACCGAAAAAATATCGGTACCTCCACTGTCAGGACTCCTAATGGACGTCCCGGTACGCGAAGCACTGGTAGCCGAGTGTGAGGACTTTCCACTCATGCCAAACAGGCAACTCACTTTAACCGATTTTTTTACTGGACGCGCGACCTTGCTGACAGTCAGTCTCAGCGATTTGATGGCTCTGAAAAAAAGAATATCTCGCACGCAGCCACGGCAAAAAAACGTATCGAATGCAGGTTCTATGCTGGTAAATTCTGAATATAATCACTGCACAGTCGACTCGAAAACGAGGAGGCCAAAAAACGGCATTACATCTATTCATTTCTAAATACGTAGATTAAGCATGAGGGACATGGGAAGCGAATTACAGTAGTTAAAGGTGCCGCCACGAAACCAACAAGTGTTGTGAAAAAAATATTACACACAAAGGAGAAAACGACACAAGGGTAAAGAAGACAAGAAAAACTTATCCTACCAGCTAGAATGTCGAATGCCGCCCAGCGGCAACAACCCAAGCTAGAAACCCGGACAGGAAAAAAGCAAGCGATCCAGGCAGAGCTTGAGATTTCATCTCCATTCGAGGTGGAGAAAAAATCAGAGTAATTGTACAGCCGTTAATGGTGCTGCCATATGGCCTCGGTCACATGGTTTGTGACGTAAGGGAAAGAGAATCTTGGGGTCATGGGGCTTCCCCTGACCTAGATTCTATCTCTCAGTCACTGGCAGAATCGCTGATTAATGCCTACAGTTCAAAATAGTCATTTTGACTGACTAGAGTCTATGGTAGGTAATTGAACGTAGTGAATTAAATGTGTTCTTGTATGAATGTGTTGGAATGAATAGGTTCTGGGATGAATGAAAATGTGCTGCAATGAATGTGTTTCGGAAAAAATTTGTTCCTTGATGAATGAGTTTGGGACAAAAATGTTGCTGAAATGAATGTGTGTGCATGCTGTGATAAATGTTTGCTAAAATGAACATACACTGAAATTTAATTGTAAGGGAATGATGTTTTCCTGGATGAATGTGTTGCACAGGTTAATTAAATGTGTGAATGAGTGTCTGATGGAGCTGATGAGTACATACTTACCCAGAGTATGCATGTTTTATCATTGGAGCATGTCAAAACCTTAGTGTCGTCACAACAGAACTGACATCCTGTAACACTATCTTTGTGACCACGCATCACTTTGATTTTCACCTGTACAGAGTAGAACAAAAGCATACTTCATATATTCACAGGATGAACACAATAAGAATATAGTAAAATGGGGCAAAATGGGCCACTTCTGTTACACTTCTTATCATTTATTTTGTCTGTCTGTATGTCTGTGAACAGAATCGATAACTCAAAATGTTATAGTTTCTCATGAAATTTGCAGGAGAGGTTTCCCTAGACACAAGAACAAATTCATAAACTTTTATTTTAGATTTGGGACTGGTTACTCATAAAAACAGCAATTTTGAAAATGATTTTTCATTTATTAGGATATTAATGACTTCTTATGAAATTGTAAGAAGAGTTTTGTCCTTGGAAAAAATGCTTAATTCATTAAACATTGATTGTAAATATTAACGTGGGATGCAGCCAACTTGTTTTTTTAAACTGCGCATTTTTCTGCGCATATGTCTATGCGCGTGCGTCACAAATCTCGAGGTGAACATTGGAGGTCAGGTCAAACACTTTCTTTATGAAGCGCTGTGTTTAAATTCCTGTACAAGTATGTTTCGTAATAAAAACGGCAAATTTGTTACTCGTGGAGTTTTCGAGCGAGAGATTGTACGGTTAGATGGCAGTTACAAACATGTAACAAGTGGTGAAACAGTGTACGATCCTAATGACGATCAGTCCTACCACAGTCGAGACGCCGAACCTAGCGACGATGTACCCGTTGTCATCGACATTCAGCACCAGGAAGAAGTAGTGACATCTCCCGGTAAAGTCAATTATCTAGATGATGATTGTGTTCCTGTAGAGGACAGTGTACAATTGTCTGATTGGAAGGTGGGTCGTCGTGTTGTAGATCTTGGAGTGCTTGCTAGAGACCTCGATGCGTGTAAACAGTGTAGTACACCGTTGCGTCTGAGCTCCTGTGTAGGTGACAAGTGTTACGGCCTTGGATAATTCCGGTGTGATAATTCAGGGTGTTTACTTATTAATCGCGTATATACAGGCAGCAGGCACAGACAGGAAGGAAAGACAACAGGATAACCCCTTTGGGATATTAATTCCAAACTCGCAATCGGTAAGTTGCATAGCTTCATGGTATGTTGTTGCTGCTGTTATATGTATTCAAGTTGTAGATGTTAGAAATGATATATTTTCAAAGCAATATTACATTCAGTTCTGTAACTCCAGATATCAATGAAATCCCAGATCCTGTCATACCACCTGGTCGTACACCACTCACTAATAAATCAGTTAACTTTGTTGTTTTTGATCTGGAGACTACAGGCTTAGGTGAGAATGAAATGTATTTACTTACCTTACAATATAAGTTGAGTGTTTATAAAGTTGATAAACATAATCATGCATGCACTGAATTGTTTGTGAATCAGATTCACCAAAAATTAATAATGATTTTTAGCTCACATGGCAGGTAATGAGTTTGGTGTATCTGTGTGCATGTGTCTGTATGGGTGTGTGTCCCTGTGTAAACAATTTCAGATACACATATATTGTTAGGGGGGATGTAATGAGTGCAATGAAATTAGTACAAACATGTACATTTATTTACCTACTGCTAATTTCTATTTTTTTCTTATTTCAGATACACAAGCAGATATTGTGCAGATAGCAGCTGTGCTGTGCCTGATAATTGCTTCAATGCATACACATTTCCTTCAAAATGTCTTTTGGTACAGAATTGGCAACAAAAATTTCAGTTAATCAAAATACTGGCAAAATGTTTTATGATGGTAAAGAAGTTAATTCAGTGCCTTTGAGAGTGGGGCTCTCAAATTTCCTTTTATGGTTGAAATTAATTTCAAATGTTGTTTTAGTTAATCATAATGGGTATTTATTTGACAGTTGTTTATTATTAGGTCTTTACAACGATGTAACTTAGTTGAGGAATTTCAGACCTGTTGTACAGGATTTCTAGACACACTTCCTCATTTTAAACATGTATATCCTGGTAGATCATCCTATAAACAGGAATGTCTTGTTCATGATATTCTTTACAAAACCTATGAGGCACATAATGCACAGAATGATGTCATAGCATTACAAGAACTGTTTTTGCAATCTAATCACAGTAATAGTTTACTTCACTCTTTCTCAATAGACAATATTCTTCAGGTCATTCACTTCGAGGACAGGAAAAAGTTTAACCTGTCAACATTCAAACCTATGATTGAGTCATGCACAATCTCAAAATCCATGGCTGACAAAATGGCATCATCTGGTCTTCAACATCAGCATTTGCGTATTGCATTTCAAAGAAGAGGTGCTGATGGTATACGTTCAATTTTTACAGAATAACATAATGGAAAGGCTAGAGTAACAATATCAAATAGGATCATAAACTCTGTCACTACATATTTTGAATCAAGCTGATCAAAAGTAATTTTAAGTGACTGTCTTATTAATGCACTGTGATCAAATATGATTTGACACTGCAAATGTACCCTTTCAGGGATATATATTGTATTTTATTTGTGTATATTGAGCAGAATGATCTTATAATATACATGTATTACACATTTATTGTTTACTAGTTTACCAGAATCATATCTCTAATAAAAATAAACTAAAATGTATATATACATGCATTTATGTTTACTCAGAAAATAAAATGAATTTTTGTATTTATGTAACTTTTTCATTACTTGCCACCTTCATTCTTCTGTATGATAGGAGTAAATAAAACCGGCCCCTCTCCCTACCCCAAATCACCTACCCTAGATTGGTCATAACGTGATCACATAACACACTGGATGTAGCAGGTAAATAAAGCATACCCTACCCAACTCTCCTACTTTGGATTGGTCATAATTTGATCACATAACACATACATTTTGGATGTAGCAGGTAAATAAAGCATACCCTACCCTAGATTGATCGAAAATGATCACATAACTAGGGAAGTTGCCACGTATAGTTGTATTGACTGATGCACCTTCCCTTCCACCGTGGTATTATTGTAATGCAATAACAGATTGGATGTGGTATTAAACTGCCCCTTTCCCTTTCACCTCAACAAAGATAGGTCATAACTAAAATAATATGTATATTGTCACCTTTAATATTTACATTTACATGGCATTAAATTTGACACATTCTTAACTTTTAAAATAAGGTTGCCATAGCTACACAAAATTTACATCCCCAAGATAAACATTTCATCAATTTAGTTTTAAATTTTTTTACATTTTTTCCATACCTACCACGGTTACTTGTTGCTATGGAAACCACTAGATGGCCATTACCGGTGTTATTAGGATTCATGTGATTTGTTAAGTAAATATCTTCAAATCAAGATCGGTGACCCCCTATTTTTTAAAGCTTATTTGATTAAGGGTAAACTAACCAAGCTATATGGGGAGTTTTAGGAAATCGCTGTGCTGCTATTATAAAAAATTTTAATAAAATAATGAAATTTAAAATTGCAATCATCTCCAAAAATGCAGATAATTTAGCATAATTCAGTATCATTTCGCTATACAGAGCTTTGATTATACGTTTCTGATAAACTGACTGATTCACCAGATATTGAAGTCATATTTAAGAAAAAATATTATTTTTCTGATTTTTAGGAGTTAGTTTAGTCTATGTCATGAATTGCTCAGTTTTAGGCACTAGAGGGCACCACATCTCCAAAAATTGACCGATGACCATACATTTTTTTTTGTTCTTGAATACTCTAAACTTAGTTCTGCTACTGTAGAGAGTTTCAGAAAATTACTGTGTAACATTACCCTTAGTAGCTACCCTCCTTAAGAGTTCTGAATCAGGTTGCCATGAAAAGAGTGATATTTGGGAATATGTTTTTAGTGATAACTCAAAAAGATATAGATGAATTCTCGTAAATTTTTCAGGATGAGTTACCTTGGACATAGGAACCAAGATTATAGTTCATAAAGTTGTGAATCTAGTTGCCAATGAAACAGCAATTTGGAAAATTATCTTTTTCATTTATAACTCAGAAACCGATGGATTCTAATGAGAAGAGGGGTTGCCTTTGAAAATCAGCTCCAATTGGTAAGAGGTTGGTTGAGATTTGAATCTCATTGTCATGGAGAAAAGATAGTTTAGAGATAACTCAAAAAGTTAACAATAAATTGTTATGAAGGGTCTTCAACCATAAGCCAAGCAATTCTATTTTAGTAAAGATCTGCACCCAGTTGCTATTGGGATGTTGTTCTGCAAAACACCAGGGTTATTTAGCAATTTAATTATACACATACATTGTATTTTTGCTCTCTCAATCAGGCATGCATAGAATTATGATCTCACAGTAAAGTTGTAACTCTGGGCCATTGTCAAGACGAGATTAATTGTAAAGACAAGATTAAATGTAGTGATTTATAGATGTCAGAAGGTAACTGCATGCACTAGAGTCGTTTGTTTCTGGGTGACCTTGTAGACTCGGCTGATTGTGAATGACTTGGTGAGGTGGTCATTGATTACAGATTTGTCAGCTGGTAATGTCACTGTTACTGTATCAAGAACGTTAAAACTTAAACTCATAAGCCTCTACTCACTAATTTGTACCTCTGTTGAACCAGTTGATAGTACTGCCCCCAAAATGCCAAAATAGTGAAAATAATTGGTTATACAGCATGTGCCAACAACTTCTATTGGTAAGTGTATAAAGACAGGAATTTATTAATAATGAACTTATGAGGGCGCTGTGATGTGGTAAAGTACTAGATATTTAGGTTTACTCTCTCGTTGCTTTATGGCAATATTATATGCATAAAATCATAGGTTTTAGTCTATCCCATTATTATAAATTCATCTGTTCTGGTATTCCGCTTTGTTAGGTGACGATAATTACTGACAGCGACAGTTCCTCTTTCATTTACACGATTTTTACGATAAGCCTAGCGACCAAATTTGTACAATTTTGACAACATACGTTGAATACACATTTTACTATTTTCATGGATTTGTGTGTGTTCATTTGAAATAATAAATCCCTTTTTCAGTTTTAAAAAGTGTACAATTCTCTTCCACTGTTACCTGAGCTAGATCTTCATGTTCCCATGTTCCAGATGTGTCCTCTTTAGTGACTTCAATTTCGTCGGTCGTAATATCGAGGGCCAGAGCATCGAGGTCTTTGTCATCTTCTTCCATGTTTATTTACTGCAATTAGATACAGCAGTGTCTAGTAGTTGCTCACAGTTTTTCACATTGACATTCAAATAAGAAAACGAAAATACACCTGAGAAGCGGAATGTTATTGGTGTTGTTTAGTGTCGATGTGCCGTAAAACAGTATTTGTTTGCGAGTTGCGACTTACAGATCCAGTTATATAGTTACTTTGTTTATAAAGTAAACCAACCAATAACTATGTTCATAATTTGATATTTATATGCGTAACCAGCCACTGACATCCAATTCGCGTGTCGATATTCAACTACATTTTGTTTCCACGTAGTTTACCCTTTAACGACGGGAAATTATGATATATCCCATAATTCATAGTTCAAAATGGAGGACGGCGCAGAAGGTAGGTGTTTTCCGATTTCTGTGTTAAAACCTTTGAATTTACCGATTTTAACAGTCGTTCGTGTAGCACGTTCATCGGAGTAATGAAAACAAGTATTCAATTGCGTCTTTTTAAATGATGCATGGCTCTTCGTAATCATACGACTCAATGATGTTGTTTGAGATCATGTTGGTGACATCGTTTTCAGAATTTTACAGATGATCAACTCAACATGCCTATTTATAAATTATGCGATATGTCTGTAAATGACAGAAACGTATTTCTATCGTTGCATACGGTTACATGATTTATTAAGCATGGCGGATATTTAGTTGTTAGTTCTAACTGTTTAAAATGACCGACAATTGATAATAATAAATTTAACCAATTCTACACGCTAGAAATATAAAGAAACATGGTACATGCTTACAGAGAATTGCTGCTGAATATTCGTTATAAAATACACACTACTAGTACATGTAACTACTAACTAAATCAATGACTTGATTTGATAGTGTTTTTTACTGTACCACAGACCAAAATTGTGAAAAAAAAATAACAACAAATTTTCACCTGATGTACATGTTCTAAGACCCCGTCAGAGTGCAACTTTAAGGTAGAACTAGAAGCCTACTCATAATTTTTGAAAACAATTGTCATAAATTGCATGACAGTGTTGATTTATTTGATTTATTATTTAAAATCATGAAGCTACATGTACTGTCCCATGGCACCATGAAATAGCATTCTTTAGTGTATTACAGTGACATATTTTGAGAAACGTAAGGTATTTTTGTTTATGAGTAGGCTTCTACCTTAATGGTAGATACAGAGCAAAAATTCAGAATAAATAATCATGATTCCAACATTTGAGATTTTAATTCCATTGCAAAATATATCCCAAGATTGTTGAGTGCAGCTGTGAAAAGGTGTATACAAAATTTATATCTGAATTTATATATTATTTCAACATGTGTATTGCAATATTTGCTTTTCTGCACTGTACTTGCATTTATTCATCTTCAGTACTTACACAATGGTATCACTTCCTGACATTAATGTGTTGTAACCGTTTCTTTTCTGTAGGTGATATATGTAGAGTGTGCAGGTCAGAGGGGGCACACGATCGCCCCCTCTTTCACCCCTGCATTTGTACTGGTAGCATTAAATTTATTCATCAAGATTGGTAAGTATTTCCATGTAAATTGTTGTTTTCATTCAAGATTATTGTAGCATGTGCTTTCAAATTACTTTGTACTTTTAAGTAAACATCTTCTTATTCTTAATTGAGCAATCAAATAGATGTTCATGGTTAAAGCAGAACAAGATTGAATAGTAACAAGACTCAATTTCTCAATTTTCTAACAATTCCTTAGACTGATTTTCCAAGGAAGTGAGGATACTTAGTAGTCGACATACATGTACTGTCTCTGGGATAAAAGTAGCATGGTTTTGTTGGAAATATTAGTTATGCACAATATTAATCATTGATGTACAAATAGACAGAAAATATTATATTAATAATCAGTATGTTTGTTACTTGTACCAAGGTTTCTGCATCCTGTTCAGTTGATCTCAGTTTTATAATATAGATTTGTACTTTCATAAATGTACTCAATGTAAAATACTAATAAATTATACATTTGCCTTACTTAATGTTTTATTATCTTTTTTTTTTTTACCTGTAGCTTACTACAATGGTTAAAACACAGCAAAAAAGAATACTGCGAATTGTGCAAACACAAATTTTCATTTACACCAAGTAAGTTTTCATTTTTAGGTGTATATTGTGTGAACTATCGTTTAAAATTACATTCCAAATATATGATCTGCAGAAAACCTCTCACTCTGTCTCTGTAAGCTAGGTAAGGGTTTTGTACAGTTATGTAAAATGTTATCCAACAGAATCTTGAAATAGAATTCAGAAAGATCCTGAAATAGGTGTGAAAATGTCAAAATACACTTTTGTGAAAGGCATTGAGTGCATACAACAATTTTTGGTTTGGTGATTAGACACCTTGATCTCATTTCTGTCAAATGCAAACTAGTTTCAGTGCTCCAATATTTCAAGATTTGTTGCCATCCCAACTGATTTTATCATTTCTCATGGAGAGTATGAAAATTAGATGGTCTGCATATAATACAAACCGCAAGGTATATCTTAAATTATTGTTCAGTCAAATATAATTTTGAATAACAGCAGTTTTAAATGTTATTGTTCACTCCAGAGATAAATTGTGTTGTTGTTTTTTGCAGTCTATTCACCTGACATGCCATCTAGGTTACCTATAAAAGACATAGTGACTGGTCTAACTAGAAGTATGGCTACAGCTGTCAAATACTGGTTTCATTATACATTAGTCACATTTGCTTGGCTTGGAGTTGTTCCATTAACTGCATGTAAGTACTTGCTGTCCTTCTGCATATTGATATGCAGAGTATCTGCCATTATCAGGAAAATATCCAGAGGAAGGCATCTTATAAATTTATGCTCAGAACACCAGAATAATGAATTGATTTTCTTTTCTGCCATAGGTCGTATCTACAGAAGTTTATTTACTGGTTCACTTAGTTCGTTGCTTACCCTTCCTATTGATATGCTTTCAACGTAAGTAAACAAGGACTGTTAAATAAACACTTTGTATTCATCCTGTGACTGTAACTTTATGTGTTGTGCTAATAGTGAATGCAAGGGGTTTATGTTGCTTGTATTTATCTCTTATCTCATAAATGCAGCATTTTGAAATAAATTACAAGTTCAATAGTGATGCAGTTTCGGGATGTTGTGTTGCCTGTTTACCTCCAGCAGTTTGTAATTGTTAGGTATATAAAGAGTCCCCTTCTGCAGAGGTTTGGTATGTGGCTCACATAACAGTATTTACTGATTCTATACGATTTAATTCAATCTATCTAGATTGTGGGCTTCAGTGTTTAAGGCAAACCTCTAGGTTTACCTTTTCTGTATGTGTGTTGGATTGATATCGCAAAAAAATGATTATCAGATAAGAAAAAAGTTAGTGTCTTATCTGCAGTCTTGGTTAGTTCTAATCTGTTCTTAATAATTAACTGGTTTGCATAATGTCAGAATGTTTTTTTTTAGCATTTTCATGATTTTGAAAGTTCTGTCAGTATATTGACTGGATCAGTCCTTAGCCCTCGGTGTTATGATTGTTTTATGATATATTTCATCTCTTATATTCTAAAAAAAGCAGGCTCACAAAGTCGAGCAAGCAATTGTAATTGGCCCTAAGAAAGCTGAGAAGCTCATTCCTAGTTTTTTTTGGTTAATTTTGTGAATATTCACATTTGTTTTAGTATTTAAAAATCTTTATCGCTTTTTTTTTCACAGTGACAATCTACTATCAGACTGTTTTCAAGGTTGTTTTGTTGTTACCTGTACCCTGTGTGCCTTTATTAGTCTGGTGTGGTTAAGAGAACAAATTTTACATGGAGGAGGGCCAGAGTGGCTTGATGAAAACAATGAAGAACATCTTGGTGGTGGAGTGGCTGATGCAGCAGTGGTACCCAATGAACCTGTAGTGGAACCACCACAACCTGCTGCTGCTGCACCTCAAGTGAGTAATCAGGGCTTATGTAAAAACTTCTGTAAACCCTTATACTTCTGTAAACTGAAAAGTTTTCTCTATGTAGTATGTATGTGATGTGCTGCAGACTCTAAGCCATTGTCTGTGATTCATTCACTTTTGGATGCAACGTTTTCAGAGGACCTTGGTTAAATTATGCTGATGCATGTGTTCAACCAGGTCTGACTTAAGCCAGAATACCTTATTAAATTGCCGTACACAGTCCTGCCATGGAGTCACAAACATGCATTTATAGAAATTATATATCTTCCATCAGCATTGAATAATGAACTAACATTAGTGCATCTTTACTGATATTATGATGTATTAAACTTTGTTTTTTTCAGCCCGCTGAAAATAATCAGGGTGATGAAGTAGCGAATGTGGCAGCACAAGCTGGTGCAGCCAATGTGAATGATGGAGGACATCAAGCAGCAGTTCAACAACCGGCAAACAATGGAGCAGAGGCAAATAATGGTGCACAGGGTAAGTGAGTCTATGAATCACCCCTTTCTTGTATGACTTTTTTGCTTTCAATTTCGTGTAAATGCAATGCTTTGTATAGTTTATTTCATCACTAACTGTGTACCACCAGTACTGCGATCACCTGTTGCTAAGGTTAATGTGAAGGGAGGGTTTTATTGTAAAACTTAGTACAGATACACCTGTGTAGAGGCCATAGCAAATCATCAATCAGTTTCAGAGGTCACAGTGGCACCTCGTCAAACAGTGTATTTCGTATGTTATGAGATAAATTTGAGTGCCCTGTTTTGTTCACTTTGTACAAAAATAACTTTTATTTCTAATTCCTTGTGTATACTCCCACTCAGTATATACTGGATTCTGAAAAGCTCACAACTGCACACAGCCTGCATTAACTGTGGGGGGGGGGGTGAATCAGTTGTATGATTGCCTTCACATTTGATGTTTGTTTTGATATTTCAGAGGATGTCAATTGGAATGCACTTGAATGGGACCGTGCAGCTGAAGAGTTGACATGGGAACGAATGCTCGGTCTAGATGGTTCCCTTGTATTTCTGGAACATGTATTTTGGGTTGTCTCACTTAACACATTATTTATACTTGTGTTTGGTAAGTGTTCTCTTTTATATAGCCTCACTGCAATTGTAATCAAGAAATCTTGTTGCATGTGGATTGTTTATCTGTTGTTCAGCTAATCTGTGTCAGATTTATTTCCCTACCCGCACATTCATAATCGTTTGACCTTTGTACAGTGTACACCAACCAATCATATTACATCTGATATCATCACATGATTGTATGTTTCATATCAACATTATCAGCACTGTAATACAGTCAAACTCCTCCTTTATAACCACCTCTATATTAAAACTATCTGACTAGAGTGCCCACTTTTAAGCAGTATCAAAACATAATGTATGAGTAACCTGTGTATAAAAACCACCTGTCGTATGTGACCACACTTTCAGCAATATTTTGTAGATTTGCCATTGTTTAGAGACCAAAATAAATATTAGCATTCTGTTTATGAAACATTTTTTTTTAATTTCCTGAAGTTAAATTTATTTGATTTTGATTGTGGTCAACTCAAATAAATATGTTTTCGTTACAACAGTACCATCTCATTATTTTTTGTACCAATATTATGGTTTGATTATACATACGCAACAATATCATATGTTCAGAGTATGAGGCTCTGGTACATTATATGTCTTGTTTTGTTGTACATTTCAAAAGTAATAAATAAATAAATAATATCATGATTAAATAAAAAATATTACTATTTTCTTTGCAGCTTTTTGCCCTTATCACATTGGTAGGTTTTCAGTGATGATCTTTGGTTTTGAAGAACAGATGAGATGGACAGAATTTGATGGGCTTTTAACCACTATGTGTGGATATATTATGCTGGCAATGACCTTGGTTCTCTGCCATGTATCCTTAATTTTGGCGCTATGCTGAATGGTCTAATAAATGCTTGCACACTTTCACAGTTAGTGAATCAAGGGACTATGGAGATTGTTTCATGCAGTTTGTGTGACACTCACACAGATCTTGTATTGTAATTATGCAGTATTCCTATGCAGTCTACACTGGTTATATTTGCTGTTTCTGCGGCTGATGACTTTCCAAATGCTTGCAGATCTTACAGTTTGCTACCAAATTCATATATGCAGTTCGCAAGCTTTGACTTGTATTTGATAGATCACTGAATAACAATCACACAATGCATTGGAAATAACAGTTTAATATCTCTAGATATTGGAGTGTCACTGCAAAAAAAAAATAAATAAATATACTAGTATGGTAGTTTTTTCATATTCAATAATTATTGCATCATATGGAAACACAGGCAACATGAACAGTTTTCACTTCATATGATGTTATATTATGTGACATGGGTTCTTGAGTTGTCTTATTTCACACAGTGTTTACAGATTATTACCATCCTTGACTAGAGTTGTACAGTGTATGGCAGTTTTAATTAGCCTCAAGAAATGTAAACGCATTCTTGGTTTGTGTTATGTGGTGGTGAAAGTGTTTCTCCTTGTCGTAGTGGAGATTGGTATTTTCCCTCTAATATGTGGATGGTGGCTGGATATATGCTCACTGGTAAGAATTGGAACTTAGTTTATATTGTGAAGCTAAATCGAGAAAATTTTGATCTGTGTTCGGTTCTGCTACATATATTGTGAACTATGAGTGGTTTGAACAAGTGTTGCTTAAAATAAAATATATTTATTCTGTCAGAAGATGACGGAGATGTGTGTATGGTTAAAACAAGTGATATTTGAACAATTCGATATACAATAATTTGGTTTATGTTCACTTCATCATAGATGCCCTTCTAATGATGCAAATAATGTATACATGTCAATATACAGCCTTAGTATATTTGGTTTACAAACGAAATAAGTGTGTATAACTGTTGTATTTTCCCTTCTCAGTTATTTACAAATTTCCTATCGTGTATTCATTACAGATGCATCCTTACCTACTGATACTACTTATTTGTTAGACACAATTATCATAGCATATTCATATCAGCGCTTGTGCTTTTACTGTAGAATATATTTGCTGGATTTTATTTTCACTGAATCATCCCATCAGTAAAAATAGCAAAAAAGTATTTTACAGTAGATAAATATAGTAATGAGTTTTCAGTACAACACTTGAATTTAATAGTAGTGTTCTAGATCTATTTTCACAATTGTACATTTGGAGGTTATTTTTTTTTTGATTTTACAGCTCAGTTCAGCTTGGAATCAAATCATGTTGCTACCGGTAGTACCAGTTTTCATAATAAATCTTACTGTATTGTAAATCTTTCTTATTTATCCACAGTCTATGTTTGATGCGACCATTAAAGATCGAGAAACTAGTTTTAAATCAGCACCAGGAACAGCTATGTTTTTACACTGGCTTGTTGGAATGGTGTATGTCTTTTATTTTGCATCCTTCATTCTGTTGTTGCGGGAGGTGAGTACACATTGAGTTCATTTCCAGTTACACTTCTCACATTCACAGTACTGAACCCAGCTGAAGCACTTCAGTGAAAAATACACCACCTTTCTGATATTAGCACATCCTTGTGTATACCCACAAAGCTTTACTTACAACTACAGACTATGCCTTACTCTGCAATAATTGTTGGAGATTCATTAAGGTCTCGGGACTATAGGAGCTGAATATGAACGAATTTCGAGAAAGATGGTTTTTCATATTTAGTCCCTGTTCGGACGTAGTCTTGTAGACTTATGTTTTGCCCTGTGTGCGTCCGTGCATGCGTTCGTGATCACCTGTATCTCGAACATGCATGGACTGATTAAGTTCAAACTTCACTCATACATCACACATTATATGGGACATATGCACATGCATTTTTTTCATGATCCGATTAACGATAGCCGAATAGTGGGCATTTTAAGGCTGAAAATGCATCAAAATCGCACATTTTTACCATTCCATACCCGGATCTCAGTTATGCATGGAGGGATTTTGTTCAAATTTGGTACATACATTAGACATAATAGGACCTTGATGCACGTCATTTTTTTTTTGGTTCGGGTTTGAAATGGCCGACTGGCGGCCATTTTTTTTAAAGAATTCAGTTCTGGATCCGTACCTGAGACATGCCTAGATTGATCAAGTTCAAACTTCACACACACAAGGTACATCATGTCACAAATATGTATGTGCATTTGTTTCATGATCTCATTAATGATAGCCAAATGGCGGCCGCTTTAAGGCCGAAAATGCATTGAAATCGCTCATTTTCACCATTCCGGACCCGGATCTCAGTTATGCATGGACGGATTTTGTTCAAATTTGGTACCGGTACATACATTAAACATAATAGGACCTTGATGCACGTCATTTTTTTTTCGGATCAAGTTTGAAATGGCCGACTGGCGGCCATTTTGTTTTAAAGAATTCAGTTCTTGATCCGTATCTGAGACATGCCTGGATTGATCGAGTTCAAAATTCACACACACAAGGTACATCATGTCATAAATATGTGTGTGCATTTGTTTCATGATCTCATTAATTTACGATAGCCAAATGGCGGCCACTTTAAGGCCGAAAATGCATTTTCACCATTCCGGACCCGGATCTCAGTTATGCATGGATGGATTTTGTTCAGATTTAGTACAATGTGTTGTACATATGCAGGTGCATTTCGGATCAGACCACTGAAAGTGGTCTGAGATTTCAGTCATGATCTGCTTTGAATGTATATGTCACTCAAATAAGAACGGAACGAGAACGTGTCATTGACAATGACTTGTTCATATTGTTTTGAATTACTGCTGAACAAACACTAATCTGAGTGAATCTGTATTGACCTTCGTACTGCGATGTCATTTGTTTACATTTTTGCCAATCAACATGCAAATGTCTGATAACAAATAAAACTCGCTGATCAGCACTAACAGCGAACAACGCCATCAATTTAATTTTTGGGTCCGAATAGCCGGTTCTTGCCACTGCACACGTGCATGCATGGAAAAATGTATACAAGTGCGACACTACTTCAAAATTAATCACATGACAATTAGCTAATTTGCATACTATCGTTACTTTTCGCTAAATTGGTTTACCACTCACAACAGTTTCAAGACCTTGATACAGACTAAGTGATGTCATAGTGCAAATTTAAATACCCATGATTATATCATTGCGTTCATCTTCAGGTGCTGAGACCGGGTGTGCTGTGGTTTTTACGTAACCTCAATGATCCTGATTTCAATCCTGTTCAAGAGATGATCCATTTACCAATCTATCGTCATGCTAGACGTTTCCTCTTGTCTATTGTCGTCTTTGGCAGTACTGTTTTACTTATGCTATGGATGCCAGTACAGATCATCAAGAAATTTCTTCCTAATTTTCTACCCTACAATGTTTTACTGTCAAGGTAAGTACTGCCCACTCATGTCCTAGACTACCAACGTCCTTTGAGCACCATATTATTTCCAGCATAGTTTTGGTGCATTATTTTTTGATTTTTCTATATTTCTTATGGAATGGACCAAATGGGAAAATAAAATTATATTGGCTACAGATATTGATAAAAAAATTTGGGAAATTCTGAATAAAATTATGTGGGTTTAAATTTTTGAATGGTGGCTGAAGTTGCCTTGGTGTTCAAAGGGTTAAAACACTCCCATATGTATTTGATATTCTTCTTCAGGTTCAGTTTACCTTGTAGATATTTAGGCTCCCCGAACAGACACTGATGTCTTGATTTGCTTGAAGGGGAGTCATGAATGTAATCCCTCTCTCTTTTAAAGTCACCTTGTTGTAATTATGCAAGGTATGCATGCTTGTGTTTAAAATTCTAATACCAGAATAATCATGCCTTAAAATTTTATTTGTTATAACAGTGTGGTTGAATCGGCTTTATTTTTAAAACATTCAATTCATTGGCCTAATGTGTAAAATTGCTTCAATTCAATATTTTTTACATTGGCATCTACATGTTTTTTTTTCTGTACAGTGATGCTCCAGTCAGTGAACTATCACTTGAATTACTCTTACTGCAAGTAGTGTTACCAGCCTTACTAGAGCAGGGACATACTAGAACATGGCTTAAAAACTTAGTACGAGCATGGACTGTTTTTGCAGCATATATTTTGTAAGTATCTTGTATTATATTCTCAGCTTGTAGTTATCTTGATGTTATATTCTGTGATTATTAACAAATTGACTGAACTGATTATGAAATCTTTGTAGGGCATTTTCGGGGGGGGGGGGGGGGCATCCCTCCATGCAGAGCTCAAATAGCATCATTTACTGAAAACAAAGTCCACTGTTTCAGTTTATATGTGTCAATGAGCGCATCTTGATATAATCCAAAGACAAATTGTAAAATCTTGTAGATCTCAAACAATCTCAGAACGATGTGAATTGTGGGACTTCCATGATGTATTATACCTTAGAATAGACATGGCTGATTACCGGTAGTTAAAAACAAAAAAATTTGAATGTACTAAAACTTCTTGATTCTTTGTGGAGATAATATCAAATAACCAATTAAAATTTGGGGTACTGTGTTTATTGTCTGAATAGTACATGTTCTTATTTCAATGACAAAGGTGTGTCTATGATCAAAATAAGATATCAATGATCCAATATACAAGAAATGGAATTTTCTTTTATGCGCACTTCCTTTTAAATATAGCACATAAAATATCCCAAAACTTGTGTCCATGTAAACAATAAATTTGTAATATACTCGTACTTGAAATTTTTATTATTTACACATACAGGAATTTACGATCATACTTACTTGGAGATGTTCCATTGCATGATACTCAAGGAATAATTATCGGTGAATACGATGAACCTGAAAATAATGCCGCTCGTGCAAACATAGTTGAAGATGATAACAATGATGAGGGTGACAATGATCCCACCGATGATGATGATGATGAAGATGATTCAGATTCTGAATTAGATGATAATCATGACTCTAGTAGTGATGAAGATGTTGAGATGGAGGATGTTAACGCACCGGGAATCCCAGCAGCACAACCACTGGTTCCTGCCCAACCGGTGCCTGCTCCTGTTGCTGCTGCTGCTGGTGTGCATGGTCAAGCATTACATGCCGCTCATGAAGCTTTGTTAAATCAAGGTGGTCCTACTGGATTTAAACCCTATAAAAGACCTATATTCTTTGGAGTCCGGGTAAGTTACCACTCATTGATTGTTTACATAACTTATGTATTTGTCCAGTGCTCTCAAGTACTCTTTAAGCATGGTAGTTTCACCATTGCTGGCCACAGAGTTGAAGATTCTGCCTGATTGGCTGCACAATTCTAACACCTCTCAATCAAGCCAATTGGAAAGCATCTTGTTTGTAGACATGTACTTACAACAAGTCAAATCATGCTTCATGTCAACTCCTGAAAAGACCATGCTTGAATTTTTGATTAATGATTATTCCCATTATAATAATGCATCTGCAACTTGTATATTATTTGCCATAATTTGGCCTTTACCCGGGGAGGATGCTGACTTTCATTAATACCAGGTCAATCAGTAATGAATTTCAGAAGTTAATTCATTTATGTGCAATTCTTTTTTCAGCTAATACTTCTGGTTGGGCTTATGTGTCTGACTCTATTAATAGCCAGTTTTATCTGTCTGACACTTCCTGTGACGATAGGGAGGGCCATCATGTCACTGTGGATGGGTGAATCCAAAGTACATGAGCTGTACACAGCAGCCTGTGGACTCTATGTATGCTGGGTCTTCCTGAGGGCTGCCACAGTCTTCATGACTTGGATTCCACAAGGATGGATTGCCATTGCACACAGAGTAAAGGAGTATGCCATTCTGGTAAGTTAATGCTCTCTCACTTTCCTTGCTACTTTCAGTCTCCTGAGTAGAAATATAAGTAGTTAACAAGTTGTATTATATATACCTGTAAATATCGATACATCTTCAGTATATAAAATATATCATGAGTTCCTACATCACTGTTTCTCTCATTGCAGGCATTGAAAGCCCTTATAGTGGCAGCTTTACTCATTGGTTTGGTACCATTATTATTGGGATTGTTGTTTGAATTGGTGATTGTAGCACCATTACGGGTACCATTAGATCAGTCACCTGTGTTTTTCCCATGGCAGGTAGGATTATCTTATTAAATACCTTAATAAATTTGACTTGTAGTTATCTGTCAGTTTGTTTTAGGTAAGCCTCATGCGCGTTGTTTCTTAAATTTCAAGATTGTGATTAAATTTGAATTTAGTGACAATAAACACCTTTTGCACTTCATTATTGTAGCTTTATGTGAATATCTGATGACTCTGATATGTGCAAAATTGCAAAAAACTACAAAATATCGCCAAAATACTGCAGTAAATCAGAACAAATATGAATCTTTGTGTGTCTACATACAATGATACGATGCATTTAATTTGAGGAAAAATAGAACTAGAAGCCAAAATGATTATCAACATTCTAGCGCTGAAATTCCTTGAAAATTCAGGATGTATTTCTTACAGTTCACACAGATTCAGGCCAATTTCACCTAGAAAGAAAGAAAACTTTGGGAAAGAACTCTGAGTACAACTTAAACATAACATGTTAATCTCATTCTCAACAGGATTGGGCATTGGGTGTTTTGCATACAAAAATCATATGTGCAATAACAATGATGGGACCGAGTTGGTGGCTTAAACGAGCAATGGAACAGGTGGGTAATAAATATCAGTGAGGTTTACAAATATCTTTCCAGTTTTGTCCAAGTGAAAAAACTAAATTTGACACAACCAAAGAAGCACAATTCTGTGATCAGTCAAAATTTAAAACCTCATACATTACAGAAATTTGCCAAAATAATTAAGTGGTTGAATAAGTAGAAGAGCAACATTTTTAAGTGTTTGCAATGCAACAAATCTGACAAAACACTTATTACCTGAATGCCGTGGAGCTGTGACATTCAAACGTACAAGTCAAGATGAATGGCATAAATTTGACAAGCTGCTTTCCAGCACAAAGCTTTTAAATATATTCAGTATAGATCAATTTGTTTCATTGTTCGTTTTTTTTTTACTTAGGTCTATCAAGATGGATTCAGGAATCTCAACATAAAATTTATTCTACAACACTTAGCAGCGCCTGTGTTGTGTAGTCTTTTATTGGCATTGACAGTACCATACTTTTTTGCTGCTGGAGTGCTGCCACTTTTTAGTAAGTATTGAGTAATCATGATTGTTTGTAGGTATATCAACTAGTAATAACATCCAGTAGAATTTTGATGACTGATACAATTAAAACTGTTGCACGCAGAGCAATAGTGTGTCCCATATTTTGTTTGTGGAGTTAGGCATATTGAGTTGAACACCATGGATTCTAGGCAGTAGTGGAGTGAAGCATATTGAGTTTAACACCATAGATTTTAGGCCATGAAATATTTTTGATGTTCTTTTGTATAATAATGAATGCCTATAATATACATTTGTATACCATATTTGTCCCAATAGATGTGCACATAAAACAGCGTAAAATTGCATTTTTTGTATGCTGGATTATTAACATAATGGCATAGTTTGACCATAGACACATCTCTATTTACATTAATGGCATACACTAAAATCAGTATACCATTAGTCCTACAACGGTCTAACTTGAGTTTGACTGGCGATGAAGAATCTTTATTTGTTCTTAAAGGCCACTGGCCCATTTCACAAAATACATAGAAAAATAAATACACAACTATTCTAACTTGAGTCAATATATGGGTAATAATAATATTCACTTATCATTATATTTCAGGCCTGGGAGAGGAGTTCAATTACTTCTTTGTGCGCAGGATCTACCCATCAATGCTTCTCATAGTGGTGGTCATCGGGGTTGTTTCTTTCCAAGCCAGACAGTTCAAAAGATTATATGAACACATAAAAAATGAAAGGTAAGCATCTGCTTTTTATTGCATTGAAACGTAGTCTGTTCTTTAATTGGAATTCTGTCAATGGTGATATCTTGTTCATTAAAGAAGCAGGAATCTTTGTATTGGTATCCTTTGCTATAGATACATGAGGGATAACTGCACAGTCTTCTCAGGACATGATTCCCACAATTGTTTAATGTGCACATATCCAACATGTGATATACAAGAGTTGAAATTAGGAATTAAAGTTGCCTGTCCACTGGACCTGATTTGATGATGTATATGTTCCTAGCAAGATAAATAAAAACATTATTTGAAATAAAATTGTCATTTTTGACAATAAATCTTGAAAATCTGAAAACATTTTTTTTTTAGACGTTGGTAACTAAAATTGATGCACATCACACAGAATTCATATCTACCAAGTTGTAACTAACATTGTAAATTACACTCTTTCAGGTATTTGGTTGGACAGAGACTCGTCAACTACGAACGAAGACGTACTGCTAAACTTTCTTCTTAACCTGTGTAAATTATCATCAGAAATCAATCTAGAATTTTATTTTATTTTTGTGTATGTTGGTTCTACTGTCTAAATCCAAACTACCACATAACTTTAGACATTTTTTCAATTGACTGTAAATATAATTTTGTTTCCCCTACTGCCCTTTTTAATTAATTAATTTACATACAGTTTGATATGTTGATAGGAATGAACAGGACGAATTGATTTTTTTCTGGATTCCTGCATGTTTTGTCTGTTTTCAGTCGCGCATTTATATCAACAATTGACAAGAATTGTACTGTTTTACGTATGCTGCAAGTAACAAGTCATTATCATACTATTCATCACATTGTTCAGCTACTTTTTATATTTGGGTTTATGTTGATTATCGATTCCAGATGATTTTTATCACGTACTGAACATAAAGATTGTACAGATTTACTGATGTTGACGTCTGACTGACACTGATTTTGGCTGCGGCTGTAGACTGGTTTACTGGTGTAACCCCATACTGTAACTCTCTTCAATTTCGCAAGAGACAGATTTTTGCCATTCAGTAAAAATCAATATTTGCAGCAGTAAAAATGTTACCGGGGTGCCAAACACCTAGTCATACAGCAACTTATATTGATACTTTTTTCCATAACAAATTCCATTAAATTTTCAAATAGCGAAATGCCTAGTCACGAACACAATTATTTACAGTACGTCTGATGTAGATTTAGTCAATCATCAGGTTCAGACAGGTAAATGAGACAAATGTACATTCAAAATATGGTTCTGCAATAAAATCAATCGTTTTATATTATATAAATGAACCTTGCACAGTTGGTGATGGTACAGTCTGTGGAATATAGCATAACTTTATTTTCTTTAAGTTGCTGACAAATGGTATAGTAAATGTCCTTTTTTTATGCAACTAGGATATTTATTATGTACAATGAATAAATAAATATTTATCAGATCATATATGAGGGGTGTTCGTATGTGTGTAATCTTTGTCCGATTGGCGCTTGGTTAAGCCTAATTGTTATATATTTGTTTTCAGATACACACAAACGTTCGTTATTAATGAACAATTAAAATTCCCTTTTTATTTCGGTTCTTGTGTAAGAAGACACAAAATGGTAATTGAGATTACCTTATAAGTCTGCTCTTTTGTTATCTTGAGAACTCGCTTATACATATTCTCTGACCTAATTTGTTTTTGGTGGAAATCTGATTATTAATTACTTAATTTGTTTTTGATATCTAATATAATTCGTCTAAATGTATGCAGTTAATTTATGTATACACAAAAAGATTAGTTGAAAGTTGTCATTTGATGATTAATAATTTAATACCTATAATGTAACATTGAAGGCATATATTTATATGTAGTTGCATTGATGTAACCAAATCCTCAATGGCAGATGCATTACCTACTTTGCTTACCTAACCCTAATCCTAGCCCCACACTTAGCCAACTTGTTTGATAATTAGGATGAACTCGAGATCTAGACAATCTGTGATCAATTTACAATCTACATGAAAAAACTTTAAGCTTCATACTAATACAATTATAGCAAAAGAAAAAAAGTAACCACATTGTTAACCGACAATAGCGTTAATTACGGGTCAATTTAAAAATGTGAAACATTTAGAAGGCATTGTGAAAAAAATATTCAACTGAAATACTACAAACTTTTGTTCTATAATCCTAGTGAACATTTGTTTTAAACAAATCAAACTGCCATTCGATAAACCTATGTGTTCGGAACTGAAGTTAAATAGTTTTTAACACAATTTAACCAAAAACAGACATCTTCAACACATTTTCGATACCGTTAGCAGCCAAAACAAAATGCATCATACTGTTGAAAAGCTGGCAAGATAAGCTTTCATATGGAATATAACATGACAAAATTAACGTATTTGTTAGCAGTGTAATTCATTATTTACAATTCCTATAAATCATGGTGCAATGCCATGTTCCAGATTATTATGATTATGTTATGGAGACAATGATAAAATCAAAACAAGATATTCTCATAAGCAATTGTTTTGGAAAGAGTCATGTCACCAATAACTGCATGCAGAAATCAACCGTTGAAGAAAAGATTTGAGTGTAATGGTGAAAAGTTTCCTTCAAAGTGTGTAATTGGTAAAATGATTTTGAAGTACATTGTATTGGAAGAATTGTATTTATTCACTTATTCCATGGTTACTGTGCTGACTCTGAGATCCCATTGAAATCATGTCGGATACCGTGATAATGTAAAGTGTAGTATAAAACTTGTATGAGGGTAAAACGTCAATAATATGTTTCAGCGCCCTCTGGAGGTAAATGTATTGAACGTTGTGTTTCTTATACATTGCTGAGATTCTGGATAAAATGGACGTTTTCCCAAACGTCCCATGTAATCAAAATTATATGGCAATATATGTGTGTGTTTTTTTCCTCGTTCGCATTGTTGTGTACAAGTTTCATTCGTGCATCGTTGCCATTATCCGTGGTCATATCCAGTGAAATACGTGCAACAGATAATCAAATAAACATTTGAACTTGACCCTGACTTTGCCTATATGTACAGCGATGATTATCGCAAACCAAACACTCTGGTAACAATACTAGTTTTATGATTGTGTAGTGTTGTGTACTTTCTTACTTTAGTTTATTTCATTTGTGTGTGTGTAGATTCTGTAATGGGGAGCTATCACGCAAATGATGTCAATATCTCAAATTCCGAGTAAGAAATATCCTATCCCATCTATTTCACTTATTCACCAGTACATTCTCGCATACTTTTTTTAATATTATTCATTGTACGTGTCACTGGCAGATACAGAAATTCTGTAAGGGGCGCTCCTATTGACGTGGGGGGGGGTTGTCAATTGATTTGTATTTTTTTTTGCGGGCTGAAGGTGGGGGCTATGCATTAACTAAATCTAATCCAATAGTTACTTTGGCAATGTTCAGTCTATATTTTGAATAGTGTTGTGTTGTGTTGACAGTCTTTAAAACTGCAAAACAGCATCTTTCAAAATGGTTCATCGCGGAATGTCGAGGTTCGTTGTTCCAATAAATCTCCATAATTTATGTGCGTGGACAGCGAGTACTAGTAGTTATATGGCATATACGAGAACCCGTTCCATGCTCATCAGGGAATATTTGAAGCATTCAGATAACCATTGTTCAGTCAAATGATAAAAATACAAGACATGCACGTACCATAAAGTGCACGACTTGTACGCCAAGTTTGACTTTTAAGACACCGCAATGTGTGATACAAACGGAGAGAAAGTGTTTGGCGCCCTTAATTCACACGTTATTCACACAAAATATAGTGGATTGCATTTTACGCGTATTATTTACGATTAAGCCACGGTCCTTCTAGGAGACTGTGCTCTGCGTTAAAGTCAGTAAAAGCAGGAAGTATACTATATTCGCATTATGACATGTGGCCATGGTACCGCAGTATTCACAACTCAATATAAATTAAAGTCGGTAGAACTAAGTGCTCTTAAAATAAATACACTCTGCATTTCCATCGCTAAAACGGATGTTATAAACTGGACAGTGACGCGCAATGGCATTCTCGCTGTTAGTCGCCTCCTAGTTACTGTCCGGTGGTCCAGTCCAGTACGGTCATTGGACGTGTACATAGTAACCGATTACTTGGTATCTAAGAAATCAGATTGCACGCTGCAACGATGTGTCCAATTATTATACGGCTGATTTGTTAACACGGTGCAGTGGGTATAGAAACAGACAGATTGAAAAAAACTACTGGTAATAATATTTACTCAGTTGGGTCAAATGTCGTATTTGATATTCAGTAAATGTTGAATTGGCAGTTTTGGTAGGGTAATGAAATAGGGCTATATAAATGACTATAGATGCCGGCTTTCCCAGTGAATGACACAGGCGGATATATTTGGCATACATTATGTAGTTCCATTCTGCCGTGAAATGTTTACAACGTACCGCTGCTTCTCCCCTCCCCCTCAGGTCAAGACTACCCACGTGTCACACCTGTGAAGGCAGTAGTTATTTCACCAAACGTTCGATCATTACTGAACAAGCCACGTATGAAGAATTTCCTAGTCTTACTTAGTAGGGCATGTGATGATTTTAGAAGAAATTCGTATCTACAACCGCCTGGCTTATAGTGACATTAATCAGTGATTGATAGCTTGAAGGAAAAATACGGACTGTAATTTTATAACGTGCATGGGTGTATACGGATCGTGTACACGGGCCTCAGCTGTTAAAGTCCGCGTCTATGGTTGTCCTGGTGCTGGGACTGTGCCATTCACGCTTAAGAGGGGTCGCGGCTACTTTGTGTGATGAGCTATTTAACGTCAGTGACATTTATTTCGTTATAGATTCAAGTCTACACAAGATTAATTTGCCCTCAATAGACGATGAGCCATGTAGTCCATTGTCGACATTGTCTTTGTGTGACGCTACAATAGCCCGTGCTTTGTGACCGTCGTGTTCAGTGTTGAACTCGCGCGTTTGAAAAGGACCCCCGCTCACCTTCAATACGTAATTTACCCCTAAAGAGTTACTTCATTGTGCACCATCGTATTCAGCAGCTCCCATAATTGAAAGGACATGGGTAGAGGCGGCTACAAGTGATTGTAATGTTGTCTACTCAGCAGACTTAACAAATGTCGACTTGGTCGCTGTGTACGGTGCATTTCTCGCGATTCACGGCGCGATGCTGACTCTGGTCGACCTATCAACCAGTGAATGGCAGACCGTGGACTACTATTTGATTTAGGACTCGACGACTCTGGTATCCAAGGAAAGGTCGCAGCAATTCGGATGTCTATTTATTCGCGTAATATATCTACCATTACACTAGGAACGTGCATAGAACTCTAAAGGATATCACCAGGCGCAATAAACAGCACGGGCTCTCGGGAGTTGCGAAGGCACGGAGGTATTTTGTGATTTAATATTCGAGTGTCATTGGTTACCGGAGCTCGATCTAGGTGAACGCCGGGTCGTGGGTTTTAATTGAGTACGCCACTGGGAACGCCACGCAGCTCGTTTACGATGACATGTGAGTCTGGGACTGAGTTTAACTGTGTATAGAGTGTGGATAAACACAACTATGGTGATATAGGAACATTATCCGCCAGTGATATCACCAAAACATGTGCAATTGAAGGACTATCGCATTGTACGTGTTTCTACTACGCTAAATAAGTGTACCATGGTGTTGTAAATTGACTGCTTTACTTATACGCGCTGTGATACAGTTCAGTGATATATAGTGAGTACTACAGCCGGTTAACATGGAGGTGGGTGTTAGAGACAACACCGGGAAATTCACGGAGTCATTTGAAGTCTTCGCTAAATTACCGTCCGGTACATTGACGTCAGTCATCGTACAATTTGAAACTAAAGTACGAGATTTGAAATCCATAATCGAATTCCGATGTGGTATACCATCGCAACTACAGCAACTATCGTATAAAAATCACTACGAACTTTCGGACAAGGACACCTTACGGGCGCTATGCGTTATCCCGGGGGTCCAGGTACCGGTGAACTTCTTACACGGATACGAAGACCTTATTGAAGCGGCTTTGAGTGGGAACACAAAAGGTGTTCTGGACGATTTGAAGAAGCGGTACGATAATACAAACATCAGGCAGAGAAAGATCGCAGCTTTGTTCGTGGCCGCTCAGCGCGGTTACCACTTTCTCGTAGAAAGGTAAGGGCGCGTGAGAATCTCCTTGCAAAATATGTTTACTAAAGCTCGGTGCTATTTCCAGTATAAACCACCTGTTGCGCTGTAAAGCATGACCGTACACTAATGAAAGGCCGACTTTTATTTGAAATAGTCACGCAAGATGAAGCTTACACACAGACCTAAACATATACAGTTCAAATGTGTAAATGCACCGGGTCGGGATCTAACACAATGGCGACATCTACGTCACATCCATTCTCTCCCAAGACATAAACAACGTGTTACTTCAGTTAATACAATGTATTGTAAATGCTTTCCTTCAAAAGCACATACATTTCCACATAATGGCATCTAAAGAATTATGTATGTCCTCCGTGGTCGTTTGTAAGCGCCGTCGATGACTTCTAACCCCGTATGTCTCATTCGAGCTCATTTATGAACTCCGGCCTATTGTGTAAGTCGACAGTCCACTGTCCGGTGCTTTTACTATTAAACGCGTTTCTCTTTCACATTACATGTCTAAAAATAATAAAACATTTATAGGAACAACTAAAACCGGCATGAAATCGAATGTAAACAGGTTTGTTTGTACATGTTGTTGGGTTTACTGATTAAGTTTAGCGCGGTGATTGACTCGATAAAAGGCAGTCAGTTAGTACATCTGTTAAACCTTCGTGTGATTTTCATTTCGTGTTCTCACTAGAAAAAAAAATACGCCGGCGTACTAGTTACGCTGGTGCTGATACCCCGTTCACGCGGGTTTAAACTCCGCCATTCTAAAACCCCATTGGGCGTGTAAACTACGTTGTTTACGCGAAATACGAGCCCGCGCCGCGTGACGACCGCAGCGTCTCACGGGAACAATAAGACAGGTAGACGTAATAGGTATATAGATATAAATGATGGATATGATATTTTTTAACTTGTGAAATACGAACACGTACGGCGATGACAACTTTTAATTCCTGAAGGATGTTTTCACTGACTAATACAATGGAAATATCGGATAACTACCTGCAAGGCAATTCACTCAGACTCTGCTATTAATAGACGTGGTTAAGTTTACAAATGTATTGCATAAAAGAAACATTGCCCGCGGTAATGTTAAGCTTACCTATCCAACTGGATTGCCCGCGGTAAACTACTAGTTTAACACAAAGGCCATTGTTATGGTCTGTACGAAAACCAATGGTTTTGTGTTTCGCTAAAAAACAAACAAATCGACCTTTGGACACTAACCCTAAAGGTACGACTACTTCTAAAACAATGTTTCACTATATATGGCCCTGTATGACCGCAGGTAACCGATGCTCGCAAATACGGTTGTCGGTTTCACATATTTATCCTATCTTGTTTTATACTATTAAAAGAGAAAGAAAACAAAAACTCTTCGAACTTGTATGCCGCTGTATGATGGAAACCACTTAGCTGTGTGTTCACTGAACAAAGGCATGGCTAAGGAAGATAGGCGTAGCTGTAGAAGTACGTTTTCGCTGTGTTTTGACCCGCCCTTACAATATATGGGAGGCCCTTTTCAATGACCACAACAAGATTGAATTTGGAGTGCCTTTGTTTGTTGTGTCGGTATTGATTCGATTAACTCGGCGTATGTCACCATGGAACCGATGTATTGTATGTATGACCCCCCATACACTAGTACTAGTCCACATGTTTTACTGTAGAGTCACGTGTTCAGGGTGTGACCATATTTTATTGTTGTTGATGCCTGCGGTGGGACGACATACAATTCAGTGAAAATAGTAACGATATATATTGAGTGGAACACACACTGACAACAAAACAGATTAATAATAAAACGAAGTGTACAATACAATTGCAAGGAATCAGTGTGCAGCTTTGTGAAACTTTTACGATGTAAATTTTACGTATTAAGTTCATCATAAATATATTGATATTTTTTGTTGAGATTTGTATTTATTCGATGTCAATAATGCAAGGTACTTTATCCCAGACTCCTAAAATTGTCCTTCTTGTCTATTCTTGTCTATTGTCTTGTCTATTATTAGCCTACCGGTATATTTTATATTTACCTACTGATTATATATCTATTGGTTTTATCTATTGGCACTGTTATATTTGTTTATTGGTTTATTTATTTATTTATTTATTTATTTATTTATTTATTTATTTATTTATTTATTTATTTATTTATTTATTTATTTATTTATTTATTTATTTATTTATTTATTTATTTATTTATTTGTTTATTTGTTTATTTATTTATTTATTTATTTATTTATTTATTTATTTATTTATTTATTTATTTATTTATTTATTTATTTATTTATTTATTTATTTATTTATTTATTTATTTATTTATTTATTGGTGTATTGGTCTATTTGTTTGCTGATATATTTGTCTTTGTTTGCTGGTTTAATTTTCTTTTGGTCCATTTGCTTACTGATCATTTGTTTATTTGTTTATTGATATAAATTGATAAAATAAAAGTAGAGCATATACAAATTTCACAAAACCTAGAATCAATACGCCATGTTCACGGCAACTGTTTCTGGGTGTCGTCATATGAACTTCATCAATTATTTATATTTGTTTCGACACGACCTAACAGAACCGTGTACACTGTAACCTCAATATAATGAGCCCCTTTATAATGAATTTCTTGATATAATGAACTCATAGCATGTCTCCCGCTCACAACAAACCCAATGCATTATGTGCTTCATTATAGTGAACATTTCATTATAACAAACTAATTGTATGTCCTCCCCCAAAGAGTTCGTTATAACGAGGCTACAATGTAGTGGGTTGGATGATTCGTCATGTGACCCGAATGTAACCTTTATTTCTTCTTCAACTGAGCTCATGTATTTTATCCGTGTACTGTGTATCTTGTTTATGGTTTATGTTGTGTGCCAATTCCCGGATTCATTATTTTCATCACGAAGACCATGTTTTCTATTTTAGTCCTATTCACTGACATTTGCCCTCCTCATAAGTTCTCATTATTTGCATACCATGCTTTGTATTCGTACTGCCAGTTCTAAACAGCATTGCATTTAGTGGCTACTTATATACCATTAAACAATGTTTGCTTAATCTTTATTCTATTTACGAGTGTGTAAAAAACACGAACATTTGATGGCGACACTCAGCTTGTAATGGATTACAGTTGCTCCAAATGTAAACGTTTTTTTATCACCATGGTGATAAGGGATAGGCTGGCACTCTGTTAATCGGTATTTCAGTGCATTTTGTATTATGTGAAACTACTCAATAAAATATAAAGAGTCAAGTCAGTTGCCATGTGGACAGCACGCACTCTTTGTCTCCAAATTGGTCTGTTAAACTTACGGAGCAACACTCTGAATTCCAAAGTTGTTGTTACGTCACGCTTTAGTGCACGTTCCGAGTGTACATGAAGTTTATCATGATTCATATTTTCAGAACGTGATGAAATTAGTTGTTTTCAAATGTTGCAGTTGTAAAATTGTAACATGTCGATTCTTAGTTTGACTGTCGGCGCAAGTCTATTAATTTAAGTGGGTCTATAAGGCCATATATTATATTATAGTTATCACTGTATCAACAATAACAATTCAATCTGAGACACCTAGTGCAAATCAGTCTTCTACTAAAATCATCGAAATATAATAACCTATTGTTTATCACATGTTTAAATTTCGACTATTCGCTTGTCGGCTTTAAAGAGTTGTCAGTTTATTAAAAGAAAAAAAAAACGGCTCTCAATGTAGCTACTTACCGTTACTATATTTGTTTACTCCCGAGTTTTCCATTAAACGGAAGACACACAAAACGTAATATTGTCAAAATGCAAATATGACGTCTGATTTAACAGATGACCACATCGATATTATTCATATACACGATATGTATACAATATACGATATTAAACTTTTAATAAATTCACCTGCATTTATCGCAATTCCGGGCAGTTTAAAATAGACAGCTAGTGAGAATTCTAGTCTCTAATGCAATCCTATTAACTCATAATTGCGACAGTGACGTCGATTGAGAGAATGATTGAGTACATTAACGATTGAACAGATGTAACAAAATGCGCCGATTTGATAGTCCATCGACAGCAAATGCACTACTAATGTGCTTCAATGGTGTTTTGTATTCCTTTTGATGGATTAGATATTTTTTATGACACACGAGTGCAACAATCTAGCTACAACCGAGGACGAAATGGCGTGACTGATTCTTGTATGTGCTGTTGCAGGATCTTTTGCCATAATGTACGCGCGCCAAGGGTGCTGCAATACCGTTTCTTGTTCGTTGCTGGAAGTAGAAGCGTAATTACAGTTAAACATCTTTATATTTACTATTAACAACCTCTGTGTTGTTTGTTTCTCTCATGACCTCATCCTTTTCCACCACGTCACAACATCAGTTTAGTGTAATTTACATACATATCAATACCGCCATATTGTAATATACGTGTACGCGATAAATGCATGCACACGCAGTCTTGACTGATCAACATCCGCGCTTTATTTTTTCCAGCCTCTCCTAAATTTATCGTTTTCCATCTAATCCAAAATATATCCCTGTCACAGTGTCCCACATTTCCTAAATAAATAAAATCCACACATCTTGACTAAAAAGTCTTCGCTATCAATTCACCCTTTAATTAAATTTCCGCCGCAGACGATTTTCATTTAATACATCTCAAGAAAACCGGTACCAACACGTGCATATATAATGTGGTAATTATGAATAATGCATATACACAAAGAACCCAAATTATAATTGATTGTTTAGTATTTAAGAGCAGTACATATAGTAACGTATACGAGTCAGGCACGCTAAAAAAAGTTTAATTTTAATTAGAAAGCTAATTATTTAATGAAATATATTATAAGAGCGATATACTTTTACAATTGAGAATATAATGTGACATCTACATACATTTTCACATGCCATACATAATTTCAGTGCCTATCACGTAACTCCCATCGGGCCTGCACTGTAATTTCATGCCTTACTGCATTTCATTAAGTGCACTTTTCACTACTCTAACTCAGTATTAAATGCTGACATTCGGTCGCCTTGTCCATTGAATACATGACAATCATTTTTTTTCCATGCGATGCAAATTGAAGTTACACAATACATCAGGAGTGTTGTGATCAGGCTGTACATGTTATCGTCTTCAGACTGTAGACACCGTGGCACACATCGTACAAAGGCACTCAAATATCGCTGTCTACTGTGTGCGTGTCAGTATCTTGTCATTTCAATTCAGAATGTTAATCTCTCATAAACGGCTGTGGTGCTTTTCCCAAAATGTTATTTTGATAATTTAGATTCCAAGTTAGATCATGTTTCTGCGAAACTTCGAAATGTTTTTTTCTCACAAACAAAATTGAATGTTGCGAAACAAACGGGAACATTACATTGACTTGTTTGGGGACCCGTCAAATGTTAGTGAATACAGCAAATGCCATTTGTTCATGTGTTTTTTTTCCACTGTATATTAAACGAATACAAAGCAGACAATACTCAGTTACATATCCATATGTTCACGCTTTCAAATAAAAAAAAAAAAAAACGTATACATTGCCATACATACGTAGCAGGTATTTAATTATAAACCAATCATTTATGCAGGTCTTCCAAATTGCTTCTATACAGCGAGAAGGTGCCAGTTTATCGGCGCCCGCGTGGTTTGAAATCGTCAGTTTTTCAGACCACGAACACGCATACGATACGCATACTTTTCGAATAACGACTACACTGTCTAACCATATGCAAGTGACAGGACATAGACAGGTATATACGTGACGGGTGTCTATCAAAATGACCCATACGTACAATTTGCTTGCAAGGCTCTGTTACCACATGAATACAACCAAAACATTTATTTGCCGTCATTCTTGGTGTATAAATTCGGCGCTCTAATTACTTATAGAAACTATACATATAACTGACATATATTGTATTATAAAATTACTACTCCGGGTTGTTTTCAATTTGCTGTCAACTTCCAAATACTTCATTAATCTGTAGAATGAAACCGGAAATTGCTTTATTTTAACCAAAGCGGAGGAAATTGTTGATAATCGGAGATACTCAAGGCCAGGGGGAAGTGATAGGTTTTTATAAAAGATGGTATTACTATAAACATCGCCTTGTTATTCACTCTGAAGATCGCAAACTGCGTCACGCGAGGAGCAGGCATTTTAACAATCTACCCGTTATATACATTCTTATATTCCCCACCGAAGTAATCGTTGCCTATGATTGTGTGCCCATTATACCGCACTGGATCTTATTCACCCGCTGCTTAGCTACCGTTTCCATGACAACATCGAGGCAATGTGAATATGTCAACGTGCCCCCCTTGGGTGTACAAAGACGTCGACAATAACCACAACAAATAATAATTTAAACAAAAAAATAACACAAATAAATATGCACACATGTGTATATATGTGTAAGGATGGGAATAGCTGTTATAATAAGTACTATGAAGATACCGCGAAACTCCGTGCAGTTAGCGCTCGTCTATTAACATCGCGTTCACACGACGCCCGTTCGCGCGTGTATGTGAGACCTGTTCGTGGCCTCTACGTAATTACAAGCGGTAAATGAATAAATTAAATTTAGTGAAAATAAAGAGGATATTATACTTCATAGTACTGTAATTTAATTTTCAAGCATCGCAACGTTACGGTCATTATTCTACCGCGCATATTTGATAGTTTCCATGGTTACATGAACTAAATCTACTAGAAACCTCGAGGAGTTATTTTATTTTAAATAACTAAGTTAAATCACTTTACTACTGAACAGCAACCGCTGTTTCATTCCATTTGTCATGAGTTATTAAAAGGGTGCACTTCTGTAAATAGATGTATAGATGAGTCCTCTAGGTAACGCGTTTGTTGGTGTGAAATGTCAATTTTATTCCAATATGTTTTTTTGTTTTGTTTTTCAAAATATTGGACTTGATCGGTAACAATTAAATATTTAACAAAATACAATTATTATATGTTATTATTATTGTAAGAATGGTATTAAAATGAAATGTTTTCTATATGGTCACGGTGTCGATATCAGCTATTGAGAAAAGAATGGCTATTATTTGTACCGGACACCGATTATTATTTCGCTTGCCTCTGAATCCTGGTTAATTTCCCTCGAAATGAAATGAACTATTATTATATGTCCGCACTGATACTGAGCCCTTTCTGATCATAGTCGCATGACCTATGCCCATTTAAAAAAATAACACGTGACTACACAGGTGTTGTACCCAATTTCAGTTTCCATAGTTTCTGACAAGTGGTTTATAATCACAACATTAGTTCCCAATAGCTGGCACTAGCCTCTATACAGGACTGAATAAACACTTAACAAACGGGGCCTTTGTTGCACAGGGGTGAAATATGTAGCATTAATGATGTCGATATCAACGACTTTTAGTAAATAATTTATAAATTGTGATCGATAGCTGTCACCTGCCATCCACGGAATATCGTTTTATCTAGCGAAATAAAGTACGAGAGGATTTATTGATTCTTTGCCAATTTAGAAGTTAACATTCCAGCGCTGTGTTGCATACTACACATGAACTAGCGGAGGATTCCACTGCACTGTTTCTCCTGTTGTTTACGACGTCAAAAAGAAACGGACAAGCTACACAGACTTTATTCAATCACGCTGTAGTAGCTATGTGATACTGTGACTACTGCAACATTCTCATTATAATACCGGTATATAGAGGGCGCAATTCCCTAAATATGAAATCACAGTAGCTTATGACATTCTTGAGGTTTGAATACAACTTGTTCTAACTACATACTATTAGTAGGTCGTGTTTCTTGGTAAATTGTCGCACCGTAGTACATGGGGCAGTGAAATACTTAAGCAGGTAAACACGAACAGATTTTTGATTGCAAGGAGGGAGGGTTTAGTGGTAGTTAAACACTGGCACAAACTTGGAAATTTGTCGAATGGACAATTGATAACAGTTCATTCTACACACAAATATGGGTTAATCAGCCCTGATCGCAAACTAGAGCGTTTTTTAACTTTGACGTTTTGCCATAGTCACCGTGACTTTGGCCACAGTTAGCAGCAAAACTATCGAGTCAACATCAAAATCTAAATCTAGTTCGTATAATCTGTTAATCTTGTAGAAAACGTTCTTATGTCCATTTCCTGTGCTTAAGTTTGGTCATGTATTCCTTAATTAAATATGTACTGCGTGTTTATACATGGAAGTTCATTATAATTATTTAAAATATATTACAGATTGGTTAAAGATGGGACCGAAGTAAACGAACAGACTCCCACTGGTAGGACGCCGCTACACATCGCCTGTGCAATGGGTAACAATGGTTGCATCGATCTCCTCCTGGAAGCAGGGGCGTGTCTGGACATCCAGGACTATTACGGACAAACACCAATTGAAGTTGCGTTCAATTGCAAACAAAAAGAGGCCGAACGGAGGCTACATCTGTTTAGAAGGACTATCAAAGGACCAACGATTTATCGACGGAAAGTGGATCAACCCCGCGAGAGAGCGATGTCTTCATGGGCGTGGACGCCGCGTTTTCGATCGCGAAGCGTACCGCCCGCGGCGTTGATGAGGGAGATATCGCTGACGCCTGGTCCAGAATTGATGATCAGTCAGTGCAAGATAGAAGAGTCAACATCTGCAAACAAAAGTGTCAACTTTGATGAGAGCACCATAGTTAGCGAGGTATGTTTTTAAATCGAATTACTGCTTTCCAGGAACCACTAAGCCTATAATGCCCAGTGTATTCGCAAATCACTCATTATGTAGCCGATGTCAAAATGCATATTAGCGGGCGGATGTAAATAAATAGTAGACTCCACCTCTAGCGTCCACATGTATTTCCATTTTTACAGTATTGAGAGTATGTATAAACTACCGAGTTGTCAAAGTGACAAAATCGACGTCGCGGCCGCGCCCGGGCGCAATTTTTCCTTTTTTGTTTTAGATAGTATTGAATTCCTCATTTGATGATTGAAGGCGCAATTTTACCATGTAAAATCTTCGAATTTCAACGTGAGTTATATTTTACAGGACAGTTCTGATATTTCATCCCGACCAGGATCAGAAGAATCGGGAGAATCGTCAAAAGAAAACATCGAGTCAACGCCGCGTTCAGTGAAAAGCGGGTGAGTCAACTTCATTACAAGATAAATATATGTTACAATCTTTGGACATACAATGTTGGTCAGCGTATGGTGTCTAACACGTAGAGGTTTTTGTTTGAAAACTCGCCTAAAGACCACTGCGGATCAAGTTTTACCAGTACAATATCCTATGAATGACCGTGTCACATCTAGGTCGTAGATTTCAAGTAAAAACGTTATTCATGTAGTGAATACATTATTGAGCATTATCTCTCATATTTGGGTTAGTAGTTGTTTTAATATTTTGAAACTCACTCCGCTTGGCGCGCCTCCCCCTAAATCCGCGCGTGATATTTATACCAATTATTGGATAAATAAAAGCAGATATAACGGATACGGATATAATTTATAGATTATAATAATTTATCTCCATACAGCGGGATTTCCCATCAGGAATGGTTAGTCAAGAAACAAATTGAAGGAAGAACAAAAAGCAGAGATGGGACGTGCAGTCTAGTGACCTGCGTAAAAACGAAGCGTATGACAATTGGTTGACTGGGAAGGGTAAATCTAAATCGCATCACCCACAGGACAAGGGGACTTCAGACCCTGCCAAGGAGACGGCGACGACTGGAAAGCTGTACGAGGATTGGCAGAATGAAAAAGAGGATTATAACAGAATAGCAACAATAGTCAACCCGCCACTTCCCAATTCCGTAACTGTGGGTGCAATAACCATTTACAAAATTAATCCGGAGGATAATCAGCGGGCGGTTAAGGAATGGATTAGGAACAAAAAGAAACAGGAAAAGCAAACAGCAATATACGAACAATGGCAACACAAACAAATGAAAGATTTGGAACGAGAAAGGGCAATCCTGAAATCATCTTGCAGCGCACGAAGTGCAGACGAATGGCAGAATGAACTGAAACGAAGGGACGAAGAAGCGCGCTTGAGAGAGGCACAGCGCAAAAAAACTGAAGAAATGAGACAACGGGAATTAGCAGAGAGACGGTCAAACAGCGCCCAGGGATTCGAAGCGTGGTTAGACATGAAACAAGCACAGCAATGGGGGAAAGACGGTGACAAGCAACAAAGAAAAGAGATAAAGAGACAAAAACAAGCAATGGCACAAAAGAGCTTTGAAAAATGGCTAATGGGTAAAGAGTGGGATGAACTTTGTAGACTGAAAGAGAAACCAACCAATGCTCCAAGACCTAAAACAACTGGAAGCTCGGCGAGGTTGTCTTCACGAAAAACTCGATAATCGTAAATATTGTAAATACGCTATAATAATTAACGGTGTCCTCCACCGAGTCTGACGTCTTAAACGAAATATGCCTGTTCGGCCATGAATATACAATGTGATCATACCCACCATGTTTAAAATAACTGAGCTAAAGCATCCGTGGCATCAGCGCAGATGTGTGGGTGATCAAACCAAGAAAATATAACTGAAAGGAAAATTGAATAAATTTACCTAAAAAGACAAAATAACAAAGATCATTATGGCAATATTATTTTGTGTTTCACACCAAAGAGGTATGCACATAACTAGAGAATATCGCCTTCATGTTGTAGGGCGAGGCTAATGAATCTACTTATAACCCGTAGATCTGTGTATTATTTTTTGCGTTCAGGCCGCTATCATGACTTCACAGCATTACGACGTCGTGGACTTTTAATTTCGAAGTTTATCGTGACGTCTCCTCGTCCCATCGACAAGCATGGGCTCATATTAGTGGCAAACTAGTGTAACATTCGCGGACAATATAGCGAGTGCATGAGTCAAAGACGTCAAACGGTTCAATTAATAGACAATAGACTAAAATTTACGAAATGTCTGCGAGCAATATACCTTTACACACCACACGGATATAAAAAATAATATACAGTATATACACACCGTGCGTCTTCATTTAAACACAATAAATAACTAGAAGGAACATGTCTAAATATCTTTATTAAATATATTGTATGATTACCTCACATAATATCACATTATCAGTTCTGTTTAAATACGACATACACGATCCAATCTTGTGCACGCAATAACAATATTCAAATTACCCTACTATAAGGGTTATATCGCTGTTCATGTAAGCGACATTGTCGTCACATAAATCGTTCTCGTCAAGGTATAATTGCCGTACTTATATTAACGGCACAGTGACGTTGCATGCAATGTCTCTCGGCTTTCAAATTCCACGTCACTACAATCAAGTACGCCTAATTTATGTACATAATTTTTGGACGTGATTGCAAACACAGCATATACGTGAATATTACTACCAGATTTACACAGTAACGTTTTTTGTTACAAATTGCAATATATACAAATGAACGAATTATCTAGTCAATAAATCAACATTTTGTAAATCAGGATTTATGACGTAACGTTGATATATATATATAAACTCAACTCTACATTACACTACTACAGTCGACGTCAACCTATTTTTTTTTTAAATGTGAAATATTATCAATATATATTTTCATCTGTTTAGCTAATGGTATGAACAACCATGGCTAAATCTGTACACTTAGGATTATTATGACAAATTCAAATGAGGTCCGAATATCGTTTATAATAAAAACGAAGTAACTAACGAGACCATGCTAACATATTCAAAGACAAAATGACTTCATTATATAAATACGATGCGGTAGTTGGTGTACCTGATTTGTTTATGCTCAAGGAAGACACGATATATTTATCTAAACATCAATATTTATCAGATATTAAATCTACGATATATGTTATATATATACTCCGTGAATAAATAATCTGTACTATAATCTGTACTGAATGGTCGGCGGTAGTTGT